GACTTACCGTACATCGCCCGAGGTGATCACCCATCCACTCCAGGTGAAATTTTCACACCTCGCTTCACCCCAGTCAGTGGAAAACAATAGATCGACCATCGCCCGATGGTCACCGTACTGCTTGCGAGGTTCAGGTAAGACCCGGCGAGATAAACTCACACTATGGGTATCGGTCAAATCCGTCATGCTCTATAATTTACATACAAAGAGCGATGTAACAAACGCTTGATTGACGCGCTATAGTTATAAGTGTTTAACTCTGTGTCTGTGACGATAAGTACACCGTTTATCATGACCTGTGTCTAAATGTAAATACAGCATGGTTTGTAATTAAAGTAATAGTTTATTTCATATTTTCGCTAATTTCTATTTCGTGCGATTAAAATTTCGTTGGGATTATATTTCATGGTTTTCTTTAAACCACGAAATAAACGAAATTAAATCCCCAACGAAATATTATGCTTTTACAGTAATCTGTATTTAACGTTGAAATAGTGTCTCATAGGTCAACTTGGCCGGATAATTAATTCTATCAATTTTGTTTCAACTAGAAACTTTAAATTGTGAATGGATATGTGACTCTTTAATAAAATAAATTATTATTATAAGGGTTAATATATATCACAAGACATCCAATCGACATTAGCCTATAATTGGATGACAACACGTAATCACCTTTTGTCATGCTGTGTACACAAACGCCAATCATGTCGTCGTTGAACAGCACTACTACGTGACCAGTTTCTGTGCAGGATTATATATATTGCAAAGTTACTGTACCGTTACAGTCCAAATATACGGAAATGTATCAGTGAAAAATGTTAACAAATAACTTCAACGTTGGTGTCTTCTGTGTTTGAGTGTCAAAAAAACGTATAGCATATTTTCGGTATTACCGTTTAATGACAAATTGACTACACTGTGTCGTCCTTATGTTAGGTCGACAATTCAAATAAACAACAAAATACCGACAGTTACACATTGAATATCATTATACAATACAGTACTTATTGATGCGATGCTAAGTTATATCGAGGACTTAGATAATCTGAGTCCGTGATTATATTTATCTCGAAAATATAATTGAATTATGAAGGTTAAACTTTTTCTCTCCATATACATGTAATATACACAAGTTATAATTTAACATCTTGGTTCAATAATGTAAAGCAACTCGATCCACTCCTTTAGCCGGCTTAGTTTTAAAATTTGGGTACAGGTACATCACACTAAACACACCGTGTCCAGTGCTTGATTGATAGGTTTTGCGTCCGCTTCACTACCGAGTAGTTTGGATAATCACAGGTAAAATATACAGGTGTGAAACCACGTGATTATGTGGCTTTTCAAAGCAATAAACTGAATTGAATTGGATTACCAGGTACAGTTTTCTTACCTGTGGGTCTTACCTGGGAATCTCCAATTAACTCATTACAGCATAATTATGACAGTGGTAATACAGAACTTGTGTGGTGTTTGATCACACCTCTAACCCCCTTAGAGCACAGGTCTGTTATTTCAACCGGCAGGTGTGATATGCTTGAATCTACCTGAAACTATGCTTTACCTGTGACTACATGTGCCATTGTAATTATCCATGTATACAGCTAATAATGTTTAAATATCATATCAGCATGGTAATAATGTAATGTGATCGCACTGCCAAAGTATTATAAAACATTTCTAATTTACATTTATATCATGGCAGCACCCCTACCTCTACAAAATTATAGAAACAACCTATATACTGAAAATATTCCGTTATCATAATTCTAATCAAAGACGAATAAAACCAGTATATACGTACGTATCCGCTATAATTTTGTTTATGATACATTGTATCTTATTAAACATTATTAATTCAATTCAGGTTATTGCATTGGATATCCACATAATCACGTGGTTTTCACACCTGTACATCTTACCAGTGATTGACCGAACTACTCGGTAGTGAAGCGGACGCAAAACCTATCAATCAAGCACTGGACACAGGTGTGTTTAGTATTTTGTACCTGTCGCAAATTTCACACCTAAGCCGGCTCAAGGAGTGGATCGAGATGCTTTTCATTATTGAACAAAGATGTTTAATTATATCTAAGTCCGTGGCATTACACATCAATAAGTACTGTATTGAATAATATCAAATGTGTAACTGTCGGTATTTTGTTGTTTATTTGAATTTTCGACCTAACATAAGGACGACACAGTGTCGTCGATTTGTCATTAAACGGTAATACCGAAAATATGCTATACGTTTTATTGACATTCAAACACAGAAGACACCAACGTTGAAGTTATTTTGTAAATATTTTTACTGATACATTTCCGTATATTTGGACCGTAGCGGTACAGTAACTTTGCAATATATATAATCCGGCACAGAAACAGATCACGTAGTAGTGCTGTTCAACGACGACATGACTGGCGGTTGTGTACACAGCATGCACCAGAGTGTGACGAGAATTACGGCCCGTGATATTCTTGTCAATCAAACAACAGCGGAGCATCGACAAGAACATCAACCAATCATCGCGAGGGCCCACCTCTCTACCGCGCGTGATTGACAGGTATATCAACCAATGAAACGGTGCCATTTTCGTGTAAGATCAGTGCACAGAACTTATCTTAACACCTACTGTATATCAATTACATCATTCACACGGCAATATATTTTATCTATATATGTATATGATAATGATTACTAATACTACTGGAACTATGAGTAAAATGTACTGATACCTAACATATTACGTTAATACAGAGAAGGTCTCTGGTTATGATATAAAGGAAACCAAAACAAAATACCTTTAGTTTATATATTATTCTGATTGTCATGGTTGACCTGAAGCGGAAACGTATATACTACTTACGGCTTTATATGTCTCTGTCTGAAGACAGGTAATACAATATTCAATATTAATTCTGATAATTCATATATTTAACAACCGGATCACGCTTAGCCTTTTATATAAGAAGTTTCATAGGTTCTAAATTTTAGTAATCACAGGTTCGTTAGACGAGAGCAACTGTTTAGACTATACACCAAAGTCGTATATATTGTAATATAACGTCTCTGGTTAAGAATAATGCTCTATTTTTTTTCTCTCTTTACTTTATACAGTTTTGATAACTGACATACGGATGCACATTATCTTTCTGAAATGGTTAAGTTCGCTTTAAATGAATAAAGAAACAAGATATTTCGAAAATTTCGTTCACTTTAAACACATAAGTGTACGTAACTTAAATGGTATTTTTTCTAATGAAAGCCTTTGTGGAGATCATTGTCATTATCACTCGAAGTTTCAACAACCCGGGAGCTTACATTGCTGTTTTAGGAAGTTAACAGGAGTACCTCGGATACCAGATGTGTAACTCATTAGTGTATTCATGCAAAAGATACATTGTTGAAATGTAAATATACATTGTTGAAATTCATACATTCCGATGACGTCACGTTGTTGACTGACAGGACGGCTGGATTGTGTGTTCATTTACATACGTTTACTTTGATGACATAAATGGACGCGTTTTATGTAAAGAAAAAGGCTATAAATATAAGGATTAACTTTCTATTCAATTTAGGTTATCGGGTGATAACTACAATGGAACCCGGGTAAATTATTTTTTCTTTATCACCCGATAACCTAAACTAAATAGAAAGTTCAACCTTAAATATTATAACATGAAACATTAAATCAGAAGGGATATTCTTACGACAGTACAGGAAAGATAAAGTTCCATTTAATTGAAATTATATCAGTAATGATTAAAAAAACACCAAAATATGAATAAAATACATTTATGTTAAATACAATAGAAATTAAAAGCTGAGAGGACAGGTGATCGGGAATCTCCTTACTAAGAGGATTATATAAATCACAAAACTATTAACAACATAAAAAACGATTGAAAGGTATATGAAGCAAAATAGGAACGTAAACTGTCTTAACATATATATATATATACAGTGGTTCGTTTATGAACATTTACCTCGGACCGAACGGAGCCGGGGGATATAGTTTACGTAATATAAGTTGTATACGACATCGGGACGTACTTATCATTCGTCATTAAATATCGTTAATATTGAGAGTTCATATTGTGTCTTTGATTATTATATGAGTGATCAGAGACGTATATACTGGCTTCATGTGTCCCTGGAGTGATGTATCAAAGCACCAGTTCAGCAATACGGTAAAAGTTATGCATTATTCTCAAATGGTCGTTCATTTCGATCCTAACCCTGGCCGTAGTACAAAATAAGCATTATTTCCTTGGTCTTTATTTATTTCATTCGAAGTAAATATAAGTGTACTATCGACCTGTGTTATTATATCGTTTTGATTACGGAATTAGAGCAACCGTCGTTGCATAGCTATACCGACAACACGGCCAGCAAGGCAGGGACTATAGACTGCCTCACCTGTACGGGCTTCGCCGGAGCGCGGCTACATCAAAGGGAATACCGCTGTGCGAGTGAGCGGGACAACGACTTAATTTTCGGGGGCCAACGACCAGTTTTCGGGAACAAAGGCACAATCTTATTGAATTGTTATGTTCCTGAAAATTGGTTGTTGTCCCTGAAAATTGGTTGTTGTTCCTGAAAACTGGTCCATGTCCCGACAACTTGGATATGGTTTTTAAATTTAAATGGTGCTCCGCTAATTTGGAGAGTGTTTCCGTAATTTGGGCCATGCAAATATGATTTAGATTGTACATCATTACGTTAGCATGCATAGATTATTTAGCTGGTACGTCATTAAGTTCGGTCATGAATTTATGATTTAGATTGTGTTTTGTAAAATTCAATGCTAATTGAAGTTTACTGGTATAATAAGGTAGATTAAGTCGTAGAATTGATTTTTTCGCTCTTAAGTGATTCTCAGTGTAAATTGATTATGAAATTGAATAATCTATTGAAATACTGTATGAGAAAAAATGCACAGTGTGTTTATTCTTATCATCATTTGCATATGTTCATTGGTATTTTATTTCAGGCGCAAAGAAAATGAACGTAAAGGCTATGGGTGTATTGGAAATATGTTCTGGTGAGTATGTAAATCACGAAAATATAAATAAATGACACTATCTAAACGATGCAGTGGTGTCTGTGTATGACGTTTATATATATTTAAATACATGGCATTCATTGAACCTTCGGTTTAAATTTTATCAAAGTTACATATTTAGATATCAGCCAGGCCATTCAAGAGACTTTCCTATTAGCACATAAATCACCAATGATAATTATTCAATTGTCATATTTTTGTTTTAATGAACTAACATTCTGTGTGTCTTAGTTGTAAAATCAATATTTTATAATTATATTCACATTTGATATGCATCATTTTTGCAAATAAAAAGATTACTAGCAATCTCATATATTTTTTTTATATTTTTAGGATGATTTTTTTCGGTCAAATGTAACGAATACAATTACCAACGACGAAATACGTTGTACCTGTATGACTTTATAATAAGCCGCTACTTATTTAAATTTTCAGCAAGTAATCCCGGACTTATTTTCGAAGCCGGCTTATTTTCAAGGTAGTCTTATTTTCGAAGTAATTTAAACAGCTAGACATCAGTGGTGGCTAATTTGCATGTCCTTTTTTTGGCAGGAACCAAAAAATATAAAACAGGTTTGATTAGGCTAAGGAGAAAATGTGGCTCTAACCTAAAAAAAGCATAACTTTAAATTCCGCGGTATTTCTAAAGATAGCTTATTTTCGAGATATGTTTGACTGCAAGGTATCCTTTGCTTATATTCAAAACAAGATTATCATCGAGATTTCAGAATTTGTTCAAAACCCACATCCGAAAGAAAAGGGCAACTATTGAAGTCAGCGAAAAAACAAAACAATCAGAACTGCATGTTTATAATCTAAGATACCACGACCTTCGTACGGTAACCCCATGGTAGTCAGTCGTTTGCCGCTTCCTGCGGAATTAAGATATGTATGTCTGTTAATAATTTACCATTTTATAAGACTGCAGAATATTTAATGAAAACATCATGCAAAGATCAAAATCGTTTTCAAAACATGTTGAAATAGACCTGTGAAAATAAACGTTGCACGTTAATTAACCTACCAAAAGCATGATATTTACACTGTGATATGTGAACCTGTACACGGAAAGAGATCTGCATTTTGCATTTGAAGAACAAATAATTGCATATACTATACTTATTAATCGACCTTTGAACGTATTACGACATAGTAAGTTGTCTGGGAAGTAGATTATGATGGTTTTGACCGATATGCAACAGTAGCGTTAATAAAGATAAATTCTAGTGGTTCATTTAAATAACATTTCTATATCATCGGTCCAATTTAATACATTTTTAAATTAATGCAAGTTTAAAATTAGTGCAAAAAATGAAATTATATGCTGATTTGTTTCAAACATTGTATGTATGCACAGTAAGTTCATGATGAAAAGTCGTTGTCGTATTGAATATGTGGACTAACTTTACCACATTCATATATACCTTGAATGAAACACTAACGTGAAATACTTAAAAACTTATCGTTCAATGTTTATTTTCAGGGATAGTTTTGCTGTTTGCGTGTTTCAAAGGAGAACATGTAGAAGGTCGTTTTATCGAAGGGAATAAATCTGGTCAAATAATAATCAACGAAACGAAATTTGTAATTCTGACATCAAATGCTTTTTACAGTTGCAAGGAAGAGGCTATGTGTCGTTCCCATCGCTCCAATGACACTCGTCTTGTCGCTGACTGTTCGAATCTTAACAACGATTATGTTTTAGGGATTCATCACGACAATGCTGTATTTCAAATGACAGGGAACAGGATGAGCAGAATTTCAACTGATATGTCATACAGGATTAGTTTAGAATATCTTGAACTTTCGTTGAGTCAGATTAACACAATTAAACCGAATCAGACGTACCAGACTGGTCTTTTAAGAACTTATCTAGAATCTTCCGATATGGATTGCTCGTGTGAGGAATACGAGTCCCTGAAGTGGTTTGACGAAGATAACAAATCAACCACCATGGATTTGTTACATGCATATAGGTGCATTTTCTCAAACAAAACTGAAATGCTTTTTTCAAGCTTTGACAAAAGCAAAATGGAAACAAGGAAGCCCTGTGATAATAATAACATTACGATATCAATGTCTGTGCCAGTGATTATGTTTTTTATTTCCCTGGTCACTTCTTGTATTGTCTACCGCTACAGATGGAAGTTACGTTACCTGTTCTACAAGGCCAGGGCAAAATACAGGAGACACACACGAATCACTAATGCAGAAGACGACGATGATTACACATATGATGCATTTATATTATATTGTTCGGAGAATCATCAATTCGTTCGAAAAGAAGTATTATCACAACTGGAAGATAGCAGTGGGTTACAATTGTGTGTTAATGTCCGGGATTTCATTATTGGACTGAGCCTAGCCCAGAATATAACCAACGCTGTTAAAAAAAGTCGAAAAATTGTGGTTTTATTGTCTCGAAGTTATCTTGATTCATGTGAATGTATGATCGAATTTACCATGGCTCGAATGGAGAGTATCTATGCAAGGGGTGATGATTCCGTTCTGTTTCTTGTGTTTTATGAGGATATTTCGGACAAGGACTTACCTTTACAAATGTTGGGCTTAATAGAGTGTAAATCCTATATGGAATATCCACACAATGACGCACAGGGCAAGGTGGCATTTTGGGACCAACTGGCGACATCGATTTCTAAATAATCGCAAGCTGCAATTGTGTATCAAAGTAGTGCATTTACCATCATGCAGATTATTACGGATTAATCTAGTAAATATAGAAGTATTTGATCATTATCTTCATAACTGTAAAATATCCAAATTTCCTGTTGTACTATTTCAAAGAAAAAGTATTTCTACCTGTCTGACCAACGTTTTGTTCAGGGATTTCCTTCTACTAGCGCATGCGCATAGCACATCATTTCTATGTAAACAAAATGGCTGGCCGTGTGAAGTAAGCGAAAGAAAAGTGTTGTACCGTGTCAGCTACGAAACGAAAAGTTGACAAATGGTCAAAAGATAGCACAAGAAGTACGTTACGGAATCATTATTGCAGGTGGGCAGTATTCAAAGGAGAAAATAACTGTAGAACGGCGCATGTATTCTTCCGGATAGCCGGTTAAGCTGAAATGGAATCGACAGAAATGCTAGCGCTGTTTATGTTATGAATATTATCTAAAACTATTAAGCTCGCTAGTATCTTTGTCTGAGTTTGAACACAGATGTACTTAGTTTAATATGTTAATGGGCATGTATTGGAGAGAGTTTACTTTGTGTTTCTATAATTATACAGTGGTTTATGCGAAAGGAAGTGACTGGTTAGTTTGATTTTTCCATGAGGCCCTCCAAGGGATAACTGTTGTGATGGCCCACGGCGTATTTTCTGGGTCAACGAGATACGTGTTATCGAAGTCCGTGGATTTACATAATTTATAATATTACCGGGTTCAATAAAATGGTATGATTTAATTACATTGCTGAATTAAACGATTATTTTTGTTTTTACATGCAAGATTTAAATTAGTACTAATATGAATACCCGGCCTCCTCTGCCCCGG